ATATATTAATGAGAGATTAATATAATTAAATAGATCTTAATATGGTTATATAGAGATTAATATGAATAAATAGATCTTAATATGGTTATATAGAGATTAATATGATTAAATAGATATTAATGAGAGATAATTATAATTAGATAGATCTTAATATGGTTATATAAAGATTAATATGATTAAATAGACATCAATTAGATTAATGAGAAATTAATATGATTAAATAGATATTAATGAGAGATTAATATAATTAAATAGATCTTAATATGGTTATATAGAGATTAATATGAATAAATAGATCTTAATATGGTTATATAGAGATTAATATGATTAAATAGACATCAATTAGATTAATGAGAAATTAATATGATTAAATAGATATTAATGAGAGATTAATATAATTAAATAGATCTTAATATGATTATATAGAGATTAATATAATTAAATAGATCTTAATATGATTATATAGAGATTAATATAATTAAATAGATCTTAATATGATTATATAGAGATTAATATAATTAAATAGATCTTAATATGATTATATAGAGATTAATATAATTAAATAGATCTTAATATGATTATATAGAGATTAATGAAATTAAACAGATATTAATATGATTAAATAGTGATTAATATATTTAAGTATAGATTAAATGTGATTGAGGACAAACTAATCCACACATGGTCCTTAGATGCATTCAGTGATGAAATACATTTGAATGGGTAAAATTTTATCTAAAAATTAAATCAAGGACATTTTTATTTTATTTTATTCTACTTACTTATTTCTTTAACTTACATTAACTGTTGTTAAATGTTTGACATAGATAGTCTTGTGCCCTAAAGCCCCGATAAAGAACTTTATGTTAAATGTATATTTGTATGACCTTTGTTTCATCAATAAAGGGTAGTTTTATTGTAATTATCGAACCGAAAATAAAGAAATATGTAGGGAGTGTTTTTTTAATTTTTAAAATAATATAGTTTCGTTCACATTTCTCACAGGGTTATGGGGGTCAGGCAAAATTCTACATCGCGTGTCAAGCGCCCCTACCGGAGACAGTGCCAGACTTTTGGAGAATGGTTTGGGAACAACAGAGTAAAGTCATTGTGATGTTGACTCAGTGGGAAGAAGATGGTGTGGTATGTTACTGTTCTTTATTTACGGTTAAAACAACAACAACAAAGTAAAGTATTGTGATGTTGACTCAGTGGGGAACAGTAACATACCACACCATCTTCTTTTTATTTACGGTTAAAAAAACAACAACAGAAAATCATATGTAAAAATATTCTCAAAAGTCAAACAACGCCGTTGTTTTCACGACCGTACTTCATCTTGACAACATTCGAACTAGGATGGTACAAACAAGTCAGCCAAAGTCTTGCAAGAAAAGTTCTCCAACAAGGTGAACACTATTCTTTGATAGATCGTTTAGGCAGAGTATTTATGATGAAACTTTGTTGAATGGACGGCAACTGCCTTTCGTCTTCAAGCGGAAGACTTTCGAAACGTCGTCCTCTACAACATGCAGTTGCCGTCCATTCAACTAAGTTTCATCAAGGTGTACACTGCTCCATCTCGTGGAATTTAAATAAAACTATACATTTCCAGCATGTTTGTCAAGATTACGGTCACCAAATGGGTATTAACTCTGTATCCAGCACAAAAAAGCCCATGTTCACTAAATAAATACTAAATGTGTAACTATAACATTTACTAAACGTACTTCCGTAGGGTCTCGGAAAGTTTTCTGTTTTAAGAGTAACACATATTTTTGTTTCTTATATTTGAAGTTCGTATGTCATGCTGTGTTGTAACATACAGAGTACATAGTTCATCTCGTGATTCATAGCATGCGCACGTTTTACTGACGTCACGACAGTACAAATTTCAACGTTAAACGTCCCTTATGTGACGTAATTTTAGTGTTCCCTGACTGACTAACAGAAAACACCCTACTGTACAGTGATGTGAGTGGTTAAAACAGGTGATCCCTCCAGGTGGCCATTTGTGAAATAATTTATTTACTTGAAGTAGGATTCATAAGTGATTGGAATTTAATGGGTTGTTTAACGTTCCTGACGCAGGGTAGACACACTCCAAATCTATAATGCTTGTCATAGGTCTTTGTTAGGGGTCAAGATAATTTAGTTTCTGAATTGCAACAAAACAACATAAAAGTTACAGTTAAAACCTTAGACGTAATGTCAGCTGAATTAAGCCTCTCCATCTCTTCACTTTATGATCCTAACACGAAACGTTTTCCTGTCAATGTTTGTTAATTAAGGTTAAAGCTGTTGTCATGAGAACACTATAGTTCTTATGCTTCTCTACAGGCTCGTTGTGCTCCGTACTTCTCCGAAAATATAGTCGACTGTCATCGTGTGTTCGGCGACTTCCAGGTCTCTTTACAAAAAACAGATGTTCAAGAAAATTACACTATCTCAACTCTTCGTCTGTATAATTTGGAAGTAAGTCCACCATTTTGTCATAGATTGATGTCATTATTTGTGATATATAGACGTTTGAGTATTCTTGAAGGGCTAAGTAAAGGATGTTGTATCTCAGAATGAATTCATTAGAATTGTTCCTAAGAGTCGGTAGAGGCCGCTGTTATACCACAAGCAACATGCGGAAAACAACTCCATTGCGTGTATTCAAACGTAAAACAACCGAGCGTTTAAACATTAAAAGGAAAATAAGTAATACGACTTAACATGGGTATGTGTAAACTCATCTCTTTTAGTTTTCATGTTCTTATCAAACTTAGCTCTTTTAGTTTTCAAGTGTATATCAAACTTATCTCTTTTAGTTTTCAAGTGTATATCAAACTTATATCTTTTAGTTTTCAAATGTATATCAAACTTATCTCTTTTAGTTTTCAAGTGTATATACAAACTTATCTCTTTTAGTTTTCAAGTGTATATCAAACTTATCTCTTTTAGTTTTCAAGTGTATATCAAACTTATCTCTTTTAGTTTTCAAGCGCATTTCAATTTTCCAAATGCAGATGAAACAGCTCTTTTAGTTTTCATGTTCTTATCAAACTTAGCTCTTTTAGTTTTCATGTTTTTATCAAACTTAGCTCTTTTAGTTTCATGTTCTTATCAAACTTAGCTCTTTTAGTTTCATGTTTTATCAAACTTAGCTCTTTTAGTTTCATGTTCATATCAAACTTAGCTCTTTTAGTTTTCATGTTCATATCAAACCTAGCTCTTTTAGTTTTCATGTTCTTATCAAACTTAGCTCTTTTAATTTCATGTTCATATCAAATTTAGCTCTTTTAGTTTTCATGTTCATATCAAACCTAGCTCTTTTAGTTTTCATGTTCATATCAAACCTAGCTCTTTTAGTTTCATGTTCTTATCAAACTTAGCTCTTTTAGTTTCATGTTCATATCAAACTTAGCTCTCTTAGTTTTCATGTTCTTATCAAACTTAGCTCTTTTAGTTTCATGTTCATATCAAACTTAGCTCTCTTAGTTTTCATGTTCT